GGTTCGGGTCGACTTAAGTTCCCTGAAATTTTTTAAATTCTGATGGTTTCATGTACTGATCATTAACAAAAACATTCAAAGAATAGTTTTGTGACTTTTTTCCAAAAAACCTGAATCGATACTGTTTTACTTGCATTTACAATAATTTTGTTGGAATTACACCACGCTATGAAATAGTCTGCAACACTATTCAGTTTCATTTGGAGTTTATTCAGCGATAGATGTGTCATTTGCATATAAAATCATCATTTCAGTCCTAACGTGTATAGGAAGGTCATTAATGAAAAAAAAACCGTGACCCTAAAATAAAAACCCTGCGAAACTCCAAGTTCAACATCATTACATTCAGGCCTGCATGGTGTCATAGAGGATTACAGATATTTTTTTGAAACTGAGGAAAGACATCAACTAAGTGTGAAATTTTTTTTCTGGATCCAAGAGTATGTCGCTAATAAATTCCAAATCTATATCTATGCAAATCTATGCATAAAGTGCAATCGGTTGAAAGTGTATAAATCCATGATTTTGAAAATTTTGCTAAGCAACTGACTTGATTGAATAATAATTTGATAAATTTCCAAGACCGGAGGTCGAGTAACTTTGTCTTAATTATACACGAAAACATTTTCTTACAAGTGAAATTTTGATGATTGAGTTTGTTGTACGAAAGATATATGTTGATATGCTTTTCAGAAAATGAAAACGAAAATATAGGCTCTGAAAATTCAGTTTCAAAAACTAAGTTTTAATTATAAGAATATTTAGGATTTTTGTGAAATATACGGACACCGATTTATGCCCAGTGAATTTATTCACAATAAAACTCTTTGAACAGTGCATCGCCTTCAACTATTCTATAGTTTTTATACATAGAAGGAAATAATCGAGCGAATAACCTTCCTCCAATGACGGAATTTCTCTCATCTCAGGTGCTGGCTACTCCAAAGTCGGCTCCATTTCGTACTCTCACTCATAAATACAATAATTTCACAGTCGTATTTGTTGTTGGTACTAGTTTTTTGGATTTGAAATCAATACTTTTGTGAAATAACTTGTGTATCTCCATTCTTACCGTGAAGATTGAATAAGATATCTTATTTATAAGATATCTTATAAATAAGATAGAGTTAGGGACATTCAAATGAGATACTGTTTTCTTTATATCAAATCGTCATTTGTAATGGGATTTAAGGGTTATCAGAGCATCAAAGGGTATCTTTCCGCTGTAACCTAAGTCTAGTTGTACTTAGTTGTAAGTTATATACCTTTTACTGTCCAACGAAAACAACACTTCTTGAAAATGAAGAACGAAAGCATATTAAAGAGTTTTTTACACCTTGACATTATTAATAACCACGTCATTCTAATGATAATGGCAATTATTCATCTATGAGCTGATCAATTGAAATTATCCCAATTGTTTTCATGTTATTGCAATTTTTTTCTATCATTCCACTCGTTCATATAGGCTGTGACAATGACAATTTTCAATAACTGTCTATTGATGGAGAATTCTTGAAATGTGTTCAATAATCAGCAAAGAATTTATAAGAATGAGGAATTCTTGAAATATTTGATGAGGTGCCAACATTTTATTTTATTCAAAACACATCAATTACCGGAAATGTTTATATAGTCGAGCAAATTCATTCACAGAAACTTGTAACTATTTCTATATTCCATCAGAACCATTCTGAAAAATGAATAACTTTTTTCTCAGAATGATCCATTCCGATCCATATTCCATCATAACAATTTTATCATCTTAGCATTGGACTAGTTCCAATCAGAGTCCAATAGAACACTTCTCAATAGTGATAATTGGGTTCGAGAATCGAGTGTAATCGAGAATATACATATTTCATCAGTTCAGACTTCCATTGTCTAATATAATATAAATTGATTTGAAATCCCTGAAAAAATGAAAATAAAATATTAACCGAAAATAATAATTTTATTAAAACAAAGGAAATTACAAGGAAATAACATACAAGCTACAATCAGAAAATAAAAAATTGAAATATTAATAAAAGCTGAAAATTAAAAAATATTAACAAAAATGAAAAATAAAAAAAAATTAAAATTAAAAGATTCCAACGTTTCGATTATTAGTATCCACAATCGTCTTCGGGGACGTATTCCTCCGAAATATGACTATTTATAGGTCATTCGGGTGCTTTCACCTGTTTCCTCTTTCCGCTTCATTTGTTTAAGCGGGAGATTACCGTTTGGCGGGAGTTGGTCGTTTTTCGCTTGATAAGAGGTTTCCATATAATACGTATCTCTACGCTAGCTTGACTAAATGCGTTGTTGGACAACATATACGCGGCTTCCTTGAATTTTCTCCTAAACCAGTGTTCCTCTTTGTGGATGATTTCAGCTTGAGCCCCCTTGATATTATGTTGATGAGTCCAAACATGCTCTGCTATTCCGGATTTGCTGGTTTCTCCTCGCTGTGTGTCTTTCTTGTACTCAGCAATGCGAACTTTCAATGACCTCTTAGTTTCACCGATGTATGATTCTTCGCACTCACAGGGTATCCGGTAAATGCAATTCTTGGAATCGCAGTCCGCCTTTGGTGGCCTGACTTTCATGAGACTGCTACGGATAGTTTTCCCAGATGTGAAGCAGGTCCTGATGTTATACTTGGACCCAATCCTTCTTATACTTTCCGATAATTCTCTGATGTAGGGGAGTACAAGTAATGGTTGTGGCGGCTTCTCTTTCTTGTGGAGCTCATGCTGTCTTCTAGCTAAAGCCTGTTCTACCATCACTCTGGAGTAACCATTCTGTTGAAGGTCATTTTTGATGATGCCTATTTCTTTTTCGAGACCTTCCTTTGTATTACAGAGCTCGAAAGCACGGTCTAGTAGAGTCTTGATGATACCTCTCTTAGTCGATTGATGGTGGTTGGATTTCTGGTTTAGATACTGTCCTGTGTGAGTGGGTTTTCGATATACAGATGTTTCCCATTTAGTGTCGGCCCTATTTACCAATACGTCTAAGAAAGGCAATTGGTTGTGGATTTCCTACTCCATTGTGAAAGTGATGGAAGGACTTACGTTGTTGATGTGCTTCAGGAAAATGTCTAGTTCTGCATTCCCATGGTTCCATATTATGAAGGTGTCGTCTACGTATCTCAACCAGACTCGGGACTTCTTGTAGGCTTCTTCAATGGCCAGAGTTTCAAACCACTCCATATATATATATTAGCTATAATCATCGAACGTGGCGATCCCATTGCACTTATTTTCGGCACTTCGTTTAGTGCCGAAAATATCACCATATTCTCAAGTCATGCTACCTTTGAAATTTTTTATTAAGAGATTATAGAAAAGACTTGATGTGTTTATTAATCCTTTGGTTTTGTTTCACATTTTTTAATTTAATTTAGTTTCTCACGCGGGGATCGATATCAAAGTTTGACTTCGCAACGTGATATTCGTGTTTTTTATTGATTCGACGAATGGTGTTTTCATAAAGAGAGCTGTCAACACCATTTCATGATCTCGATCAGTTTGACTTCAATTCGAATTCTCCCTCCCATTTCTGTTCAATTGCTGGAGGTTCTGACTTCCTTTAACTCAAAGCCAGAAGTAGAACCTATGGCGTAGAATAAATCCACAAAGTAAGCACGGATCCCAAACACCAGAGCTACAACACTGCCTTATCTCCTGAAGACGCCAACTTTGTTGGTGGAACCCACTTCGAGAAGAGGTTCATACTTCCATGGTCTGATGGTACTTATACATTCGAAAATTAAAATCGTCTTCTGGTGATAATGTTGCGAGATATAGTTAAATCCCAATTTTGGGGGAGAAGGCTTTTTATTCAGCAAAATGCAGCCGGTTTTCACGAATTTCTGTCCACGACCTTCAGTACATAACTTCTTTGAACTTCCGTTTGAACTAGTGCTCCTTTCTATGTTTTCTGCAACCACTCAATGGTTGAAGATGTGCTATGCTACTGCTCACTAGCTGATTATGCTATTTTGGCTATTTTGCCGATCTGTACGCTTAATAGTATTTTACCATCACCGTCACATTTACAAGAAATAAGAGGATCTAATTCGTAGAGTCAGAAGAAATAAGGGGATTCAATTCTAAGAGTCACTGTTTACATTTGGTGATTTGGTCTCCGTAAGGTTGCTACATGTAGCAGTATACGAAGTTTAATATAGAGAACAAAAAACAGCAGCATTGGTCTATCCTCTTCCTCTGCCTCTGTAGTCTTCTGGCCAATGTTCGATCTACCAGTTCCTTGGAATATCGATTCTGCCGGAGATGTAGTCCAGTTTTATAATGAAGCTTCTGGTATTGTTACCAAAACTAAATGCTTGATCAAACAATATTACAACTCAGGTACTCTCCCATGTGAGTTGTTAGCGTTGATTACCGCTGGTTATTGGTAATCCTTATTTTCACATCTACTCTAACTCATTCTTTGGTTTCCTCTCTGCTTCGTATTCTACAGATGGCATTTAGTTCAGATGCAGCAAAAATGAATCGAGTTCCACTTCTCCAAGTTTCCACATCATAAATGTTTCTGCAAGATGCAAGATCTTCATTCTACAATTTCTACTGGAGAACCTGAAGTGAAGTGATTGCCTGAAAGGAATATTGATTTAACGGCTTCGAAACCGAAATAGGTGATCCGTTCAGTAGTAGAAATGTCGACAGCCACTGATGAACAGAGTCATAAAAAGTTGTGCTAATTACGCACTTCTTCGTGAAAAATGCAAAACCTCTTATTCATTACAAGTCATTTGATGAAGAATGAAGCCTAGTGTACATACTCAATAATATTTTAACTGACAATTCAGGACAGTTATTTTACTTGCAAAAGGGAAACGTCTTCAAAAGTACCCTTCTAAGTGGGAAAACATTTCACGATTACAGGAAGAATGCAATATTCTTATACTCGTAACATTTTATATCATTCAAACCATGCTACTACGTGATATATCAATTATATTGAAGTTTTAATTTTTCGTATTTCAGAAAGTTCACCGATGTCTACCCGAAATTTCCCCCCCTCATTCTGGAACAGTCAGCATTACACTGGTGCAACAGGAAGCGCCCATCATGCTGCAGATCTCTATTCCGAGCATTACCATCCCGGTGACGCTTGGTACCAGTATAGTCAGCACCATAGGGCAGTCCATGACTACCATCATCACAACATGGCCGCACAGTATGGTGGTCTTCTCTTGCCAGGATCGAGGTTGCACATGGGATCGCATGCTCCTTGTAAAGCGATGGATTGGCAACATCCTTCTATCGATTCACCGTATTCTTCCTATCCCACTATGTCAGGTGAGTCAATAAAATACTTAAGATTCCATTCGTATTATTCGAAATATTTACTCGAAAGTGGAATAGAAGTCAGTTTATAATGAGTAAAAAAATAGATTCATTCAATATTTAGAATATCCAGTTACCTAGTTCTGTAATTACAGTATAGTATTGAAACTCAGTCATTAGCTCAGATTCAAACTATTTTTCAAATATGTCATATAGGGAATTCATTTTCTTAGGAATTTTCAAATTGCGTCGTATTTGGCCCTAAAAAATATATGCAATTTCTGAAGAACAAGGTTTGATGGAATTACACTATATATTGGCCGCCCCCCTATTCTACCCGTAATATGAATATGGTACTTTTATGCACGAACCAATAGAAAAATTTGATATAGATTCAGTCTCTGATACCTCACTATACTATACTGATACCTCTGATACCTCACTTGATGATGTGAAGAATAGTCTCGTGGAGGCTTACAAAATGATGATTTTCTATAGTTTTCAATCTGAATCGTTTTAAAGTTATCTCTACCCTATCAGCTGGGAGATCGTAGACATTTGAGACCGAAATCTATTTGTGCAGTCGAAGAATATGGAAAAGAAAGAAAAAAGCAGAGTATGAACTTCTTCATAGAATTGTGACCTTTTTGTCTTTTAGAGATCAGGTTGAAACCCTGTTTCGATCAAAGAGTCAACTGTGTTGGGAATAATTTTCTCCATTATCAGGAAAAACCAAGTTGATAAGTCTGTTATACTTCCCCTCGAAAATATAATTATGCAAGATAAGTTAAGACCAAGTTACACGAGTCTCGAATAAATCATGCGATGAACTTCTGGAAGGTCAACAGGCTTTTCACAGTCGCTTCATTACACTTCAAGTCAAATCTTGCTGCTCTTTCATTTGGAGAACTGCATACATGTGGAATAAACTTCTTGACAACGTTTCTCCAAATGAATTTGGACCTGAACGTAAATCGTTACTTCCGCATAGGCACGGCTCTTAGAGTGGCCTAAGGATTTTCCTGTAGTTTTGTCCTTTGAAAAAACATGAAAAGATTATGAGGGCAACTTCATATTTCTTCTTCCTTCGGTAAGCCACTGTGTTAAAAAAGTTTGTTCTGATTATTGGAGTGCTTAATAAAATGATCCCCTTTTTGGTCTCAAAGTTTATTGGTTTATTGCTTCTGTTCAGGACACACGATACCCGGGTTCAGTGATCACCCACCTCACGGCGTGGGGAGAACTATTTCTATAATTTTTCACAGAAACTTCTACTTCTGGAATCAGTCTGTATTTTGAAAGTTTAATTTTTAGAAACAGTTACAAAAAGAACCAATAATTAATGATCTGAAATGCAATATATCTTGCTAGGTAACTATAGCTGGCAGGAAGGGCCAGTGTGAGTAATGGGAGATTAGGAAAATATTAAAGAAAGAAATAATTTTTGAAAAAGTAAACGTCGAACGACTGACTTGACAGTGTCGCCTAATAAAAGTATTAAATATGAGATACTCCCTGAAACAGAGAACAAATAAAAGTAGATGAATTGAAATTAAAACTGTAGAAAAGAATAATCGTATTCAAATGATATTTTATTGTGAGATTTCCTGTGAATAGTTTACAAAACTATGCAATGACTTCTTTAGGTCTGTTTAGTACTAACTGATAATTTCTACATCGTTATTTTTGATGGTGTGGTAATTTGAATTTACCCAAAAAATTTCTGTCATAATTTCACTACATGATAAATATTCACTATTCTAGGAAAAAACTCACTGAAGTGAACGAATACCTGATACCACATATTATTTCAATTAGGATCTACCCTGAATACCAATCTCGTCGTTACAAATTATATTCGAAACAAAATCAAACCTATTTGGTCATCGAATTTATTGATTTAAAAAAAATTTAGTTGTGTATGTTGAATTGCTCTTCTCATTCAAAAAACTATTTTTATGTTCTTGAATTCTTCAACTGAAAGTTTTCCCGGTTTAGCCAATATAAATTTTGGGACAAGTATTACAAGTCACCTCATATACTCTATCTGACACTGAAGTTCAACTTGATTCCAAGGAATTTGCCCAAATTATCATTTCATTTCTAGGCTAGTTCCAAATTATTGTTTTTTATAGAACGAACGATATTATTAGTGGGTTCACCAAAGTAGATTAATGTTACATATTGCTATCATTTTTCGAGATTCGATGGATCTGGCCCAAGGCTTCTTTCTGTATTTTTTCAGAAAGAATTGTGTCAACTATATTCCAGCTCGTAACCGATTCTCAGTTTCAGTCTAACATACTCTGATTCAACTCAATTGTTTCAATTAGCGAAATACCAGGAAATAAATTGTGTACAAATGATATTAATTAAGCGTTATCAGAAAAAGCTATGTTTTAATATTTTCCACCAACTGGTACGTATTATTTAAACTAAATTGCGGCTTGGAAATATTACAAGCTTCAATTAATTTTTTTAGCATTTTTGAGCCATGACAGACGACATAATCATCCATACATATCCTTATCAGCATAAAATAACATAATTCAATAGTATACTTCATATTCTCTTGAATTTTCCAATTTTGGAAAGAGAGAACGGAGTTTCATTAAACAAATTGTTGTCAACAACGGTTATGAGGTGGATATTATCGACTCAATTCTTCCTAAAAAACTGCAGAACTTTGAGCTGAGTCTATGCATTTTGTGACATCCACCTACTCTAGAAAATCTACTAATAACATCCATCGTTATTTGAAAAACGATTTGGAGGTAGCCTACAAATTATACTAGTATTATCATTAAAAACTATAAAGAAAAGAATTTCGTGTCTGATAAATCTTGAGTATTTGTATAAGTTGAGGTTCTTGTTCCAAAATTTATATTTGTCAAACTGGAAGGACTTTCAGCAAATGAATAACGGACCATATAACAAGAACCATCTTCTGATAGAGGTGTACGAGTTCAGTCATGATTACGACGTAGCGACTTACTACATTCGGAAGAGAAAGGTTCATAACTCAACTGCCTGGAATACTTATTAATCAACAGATTTGACAAATCGAAATTATTGCTCGATGATCAAATCGATTTGAATAACTCGTTTTTTAAAAATGTGTTCCGTAACGATGAATTTGGTAATCAGGGTATATCCTGATTAAGTTCAGGTTTCAGGTAGATTTGCATTTATTATGAGTTCAATTTAACGAGTTCAGTCCTAGATTGGTGAAAATATATTATTAAATGAATTCATTATATATAAATTTGGCAGGTAGTCATTAACATATAAGTTACTATTTCATCAGTTCAGACTTCCATTGTCTAATATGATATAAACTGATGTGAAATCCCTAAGAGAGTTTGTGAAAAAATTAAAAAGATTAGCTGAAAAAACAATTTCATTAAGCAAAAAACTGCAGATCTTACCTGCAGATAAGGGAAACGCTACTGTTGTGATGGATACTGATCTCTACGAACAGAAGATCGAAGAGGTGTTTCAGAAAGGAAAATACAGGAAGATCGTAAGAGACCCTACTGCATCAATTGAAAGGAAGTTGTACCAGACTTTGATAAAACACCAAGTCAATTTTTCGGAAAAAGAGATATCATCGCTAACACCGCACCACAGTAAGCCCTTTGTCTTGTATGGTCTACCCAAAATCCATGAGAAGGATGTTCCGCTCAGACCGATGATTAGCTCCAGAGAATCAGCCACTCAGAATTTGTCCAGATTTTTACTAACAATAATTGAACCACTGCAAGGAAAAACATCATTTTTTTGTGCGTCTGATCAGTTTCAACGTGGAAGGCCTCTACATAAATGTTCCTGTCGAAGAAGCACTTCAAATCATACAGACGAAGCTATCCGAAGAAGATAGAACAAACTTACCGATACAAGTAATCATGGAATTACTAGAATGCTGTGTACGAAACTGCTACTTCCAACTGAAGGACGAATTCTTTACGCAAGATGAGGGACTGCCAATGGGATCGCCACTTTTACCGGTTATATGAAATTCTGGCCATTGAGCAAGCTCACAAGAAGCCCCGAGTCTGGTTGAGATACGTGAACGACGCCTTCATAATATGGAACCATGGGAATGCAGAACTAGACACTTTCCTGAAGCACATCAACAACGTAAGTCCTTCCATCACTTTCACAATGGAGAAGGAAGTCCACAATGAATTGCCATTCTTAGACGTATTGGTGAAGAGGGCCGACACTAAATGGGAAACATCTGCATATCGAAAACCCACTCACACGGGACAGTATCTGAACCAGGAATCCAACCATCATCAATCGACTGAGAGAGGAAACATCAAGACTCTACTAGACCGTGCTTTCGGGCTCTACAATACAAAGGAAGGTCTCGAAAAGGAACTGGGCATGATCAAAAATGACCTCCAAAGTGATGATATAACAGGCTTTAGCTGGAAGACAAGAGCTCCACAAGGAAGAGAAGCCGCCACAACCAGTACTTGTACATCCCTACATCAGAAAATTGTCGGAAAGGATAAAAAGGATTGGGTCCAAGTGTAATATCCGAACCTGTTTCAGTTCTGGGAACACTATCCGTAGTAGTCTCACGAAAACCAGGCCACCAAAGGCGGACTGCGATTCCAAGAATTGCATTTACCGGATACCCTGCGAGTGCGGAGAATCATACATCGGTGAAACTAAGAGACCATTGAAAGTTCGCATTGCTGAGCACAAAAAACACACACACAGCGAGGAGAAATCAGCAAATCCGGAATAGCAACATAACATCAAGTGGGATCAGGCTGAAATAATCCACAAGGAGGAACACTGGAGAAACTTCAAAGAAGCCGCATATATGTTGTCCAACAACGTATTTAGCCAAGCTAGCGTAGAGATACGTAACATATGGAAACCTCTAATCAAGCAGAACACGACCAACTCCCGCCAAACGGTCAGTTCCCGCCAAAAACCAATGAAGCGGTGAGAGGGGTTAGATGAAAGCAGTCGAATGACCTATAAATAGTTAGATC